AAAATCTGTGTTCCTCTGACTGTCTCCTGCTTCTCTTCCTTTCCTCTCCACACGGGGCTCAGTTCTTTCTAGAACGCTCAAGCTCTTTCCTGCCTTGTGGCTTCCCACTGCCTGAGAAGAACATGCTGGCTCCAACCACCGTCCTCAGAGAGGCTTGCTGCCACCGAGTTGAGGGCCGACCCTCTCCTGCCACCATCTCTACATCTGATCTCGCTCACTGCTGGGCTTACCTGTCTGAGCACTGCGCTCAGGTGCCCCTCTCCCAGCTCCTGCCATGACCAGTGAGCAGAAGTGCCTCTTGTCCATGGCTACAGCTCAGCACCTCGACTGTGGCTGGCACAGAGTAAGTGCTCCATCGGGATAATCACTGAGTGCACGAATGACTCGTTGCTTCGGAAGTTATCAGCAGCTCTGCTGGAAAGCACCATGATGCAGTAACATGCATGCCCATTGAGGCATCTGTTTCTTTGGGGAAACCCATGGGGTCTTGTGACAGGAAGGCCTCAGTCACCCTCCAACCTCTTGACCCAAGTATTGCAGTTAGGCCCCATCTTGCATCCAAGCACGCGCATCACACGTTTCCTGGGCACCTCCTGGATGCTGGGGGCTGAGGGATCAAGGCTTAGTGGATCAAGGAGCTCACAGCCTGTGCCGAGATGGCAGGGGAAGCTGGAGGAACAAGAGGGGGAGAGTAAAGAAAGGGAAGAGGCACAAGTCCTCAGATGGGCACAGCATGAGGGCATGTCTCCTAGGATGGAGAAGGAGCCCAGAGGGAACCAGCACCTGGGTAGTGGGTGTAGCTGAAGCATTTCTCAAAGTGGGGTCAGGGCACTCCTAGTCTCAAACTGGAAGCCCCAGGAGTTCCCGTGCACCAGACTTTGAGAACCACTGTCCTGGAGCAGTCCCTTAGCAGACGGAATAAATGGCCCTTAGAGGGAAGAGGTGGTAGGGCTGAGCAGAGAGGGGACACCCTTAGGAATGAGGACCTTGGAGAGGAGGAGGAGGGTATGGACAACCAAGGTGGTCCCAGTGGCTGTGGACTGCAAAAGTGAATGGTGTCATCCACAGTGCAAGAGGGCAATGCAGAACTGGGCAGTGTGTGGGTCTGGTCACGGAAGGAGCAGGCATTGCAGGCTGTGGATTCCTATTTCCCTTTGAAAGTGAGGTTGCTCAGCTGTGGGTGAAGAGAGGAGAGTGCAGAGAGCCAGTCAGGGAGGGCACATGAGCCTCTGATCTTTGGGGGTCCCACAGGTCAGCTCGTGGGCGTGCAGCAGGCGGGAGTCATGAGGTCTGCAGGGGAGTCTAGGAAAGAGGCTGATGATGAGAATAGTGTTGGTGGTAATAACAACGAGACTGTGCGTTCACTCTGATCCCGACAGCTCCCCACCCCCACCACTGAGGCAGGCTCCATCATGACCTCATCGGTCGCACTGACCAGGCAGAGCCACTCACCCAAGCCCACATGGGCAAGAATATATTGCTAAAGGAAATCTTAATGCAGGGCTAAGAAAATCCACAAGTGCCCCAAACTCTATTTCTATTGAAGCTAAAACATTGTGTGCTAAAGAGCCTTGCTGTCACTGACTGCCCCCAAATATATTTTAAATTGAACACACGGGTCCCTGACAGCATTTGCACGTCCTGTGTCCTTGGAAAATGTGACTTTAAAAATGTCTTATAAGGACATAAGGATAGGAGACCACCAACAGAGGCTAAAATACTCTGATTTGGAGCCAGTATGGGGCCAATTGACTATCCGGCAAGTGGCCAGTGGGCAGCCACCACGGATCTCACACTTTCTTCTCTCCCGGTAGCTCTTTCTGGAGGCGTCACACGTCAGCAGCTTCCCCTTCCCAGCTCCCAAGGTCCCTGTGGCAGGGAGGGTGGCGTCCCTTCTCTCCAGACCCCTTCCTACACAGGCGCCCAGGATACGCCCAGCCCCAGCGAGGCTCTGTGCTCTGCCGGCGGCGAGCGCGGCTGGGGCGCACCCGGGCGCAGACCGGCCCCGGCCCCGCAGATTGCCCCAGATCCCACAAGCGCGGGCGGGCAGGCCTCGTTCATCTTCATCCCGCTTCGGGGCGCTTGGGCGAGCGCTGGCAGAGAGCGGGTGCGTCCCGTCGGTCTCCCCAGAGCCTGGCCTCCTCGTTGCATCCCTGAGTCTGCAGGGAACCGGCAGAGGGATGGCGCTCCGCCGGGTCCCCGGGTGCAGGGCGGAGGTGCGCGCCTCCCCTCCGGGACTCCGGGTGATTCACATCAAACAGTGGGCGCCTTTGTTCTTGCCGGCTCTGCGTGCGCACGCGGGGCTTTCTTGCTCCTCGGCGGCCTCGAGGCGTGAGCACGCCCGTGGTCGCCCGGCGGGGCCACGCTAATTACAGCTCTGCCTGCTCCCGCCCTCCGCGCCTTTGAAGTGGGTGCCGCTGCCCCGCCGGCCTCGCACCCCGGTAATTGCAGCTTCCCTCCAGGGCCGGCTGCAAGTTTCCCTTGGTCTTTTCAGCAGGTTGTTGGAGGAAATTACAATGCAGCTCCCAGTAGAAGGTAAAACCTATGCTTTTATCGGGTTTAGATTAATGTGGGTTAATCTGTAAAGAATTTTAAGAACATGCTTTGTGTGGTAAGGATGGGCTTTGCCTGGAGGCGGGAACTGGTGTCCTGGGCAAGTTGAAAATGACAGGCTTGGTGAACCAGGCAGAGGAAGCAGCCTGGTGGCCTCAGCACCGAGGCTGAGGCGGTGCCCTCTGTGGTGCCTGGGAGCAAACCTGCCCCACATTCCTCATCCTGCCTTTAGAGCATTGTAGTCAAGAATAGCACCAAGCAGAAAGCCCTCACTAGTTCGCCGTTTTTGCATCTGCTCCCTTTTTTATAACTAGTTAATTAACTTGAGTGATTAAAGTCATTCGGCTTTTGGTTTTTTTAAATAAGCCAAAAACCAATTAATGGGGGGAAAAGGAGGGAAATGTTTCCTTCTAACCGCCCCCCTCTTTGGTTCTCTGTAAGAAAACATAATGGGTGAGGCCTTTAGAGATGACCACTGCGGCAGTAAATGTGCTTCTAGAAATCATTATTTGGGGTAAGGACAGAGAGTTGTGGTGCTGAGAAAAGTAATAAATAGAAATTCAGTATGGCTTCCCCTGGCCGTGCTCCTAGTAACAATGAGTTGCCTTCCTTCTTTCTGGAATGGATGGCTTCCCTCAGCCCTGTCTACATCTGCTCTCCACACTCTTACATGAGACCCACTGTGAGCAAACCTGGCTGAGCCCAGAACCTTCAAAGGAAAACTCCCAGGGCCCTCCTTGAACCACAAATATGACACAATTTACTGAACCCTTGGACAGGGTTTATCTGGGTGGAGTCCATACTAAAGAATCTCTTAGAAGCTTATGGGATGTTATTAGAGGTCAGAAGAGTGTAGAAACAGTAAATAAATGCCTAAGGCCTGTCATAACCTACTTAGGGAATAGAGGGGCCCCCTGAAAACAGATCCTACCATCTGAATCCACGTAAATGGATCCCATTGAAATTCCGTAGAAGTGGTTTCCAGACTTAAATTTTAATTTAGAAGAATCTTTCTCTCCTAGAGTGACATTGCCTGGAACTTCAATTTCTAAGAATAATAAAAGCAGAACTCCCCCGTTTGCAGAGAGGCCAGGAGCCGGGAGCCTCACCTTCTCAGCTCAGATTCCTCCCCCTCCTCCTCCCCTCTCCTCTTCTTCCTTCTCCTTCCTTTCCTCTTCCTCCTCAACCTCAGCTCTCCCCTCCCCACCCTAGGGTGTGCCTTGGAAGACAATTTAAGAAGCATTGCCTTAGGTGTAGTTAGCTTCTCCGGAGAAACGGATATATATACATATACATATGGAGAGAGATAGAGAGAGAGTTTAAAGAATTGGCTCATGGGACCATGGAGGCTAGCAAGTCCAAAAAGTCGAAAGTCGGCCAAGTGGGCTGCAGGCTGGAGACCCAAGAAAGAATTGACACCGCATCTCAAATCTGAATGCAGACTTCTGGCAGAGTTCCTTCCTCCTGGAAGGAACCTAGTCTTTTTCTTAGAGACCTTCAACCAACTGGATGAGGCTCACTCACATTAGGGCAGATCCAAATGCTAATCTCATGTTAAAAATGCCTTCACAAAAATATCCAGACCTGTTTGACCAAATATCTGACTACTGCGGCCCAGTCAAACTGACACATAAAATTAACCATCACACTAGCGAACTTCAGAGCGTCATTCATTACCCAAATGAGGGCACTTTCTCCCAGAACATTTCCTGACAATAGTCAAAGTATTCTAGACCGTGGAAAAGCATGGGAAGCACCCCAATTAATTTTATAAAGCTAGCATAACCTTAGTATCAACCCACAGTCAGGATAGGAAGTTTATTAATTCATTACAGATTATTGAATGCTGTGTACAAGGGTGAGTCCAAAGAGGCATGGTCTGGGCTTGTGGAGCTTCCAGTCTGGGGAGAAAGACAGACATCATGCAGAGGATCACCTGAGTGTGTGATCAAAAGCGCCCTGGAGGAGAGGCGCACTCCCCAGAGGAGTTAATTAGGCCAAGGAAGGAGGAGGGTGTCGGGGAGAAGGCCGAGCCTGGGAACAGGCCCAGTAGGAAGAGGTACATCCTGCATGGGGGTCTGAGACAAACCCCATAGGCTGGAGCCCAGAGGGAGGGCGTGTGTGTGGAGGGGTGAAACTGTAGCCGGGTGGTGGGCAAGGCCAAACCCCAGGGCCTTGTAGGCCACACCCTGAATGTTATCTTTATTCTGGAAACAACCTGAAGCCACTGAAGGGAAATCAGTCCGGCCAGGTTTGAATTCTGCAGAGACTGCTACGGGCAGGTACAGGAGGCCTGGAGGGGTGCCGGCCACAGCAGCGTGGAATGAAGGTGGCTGGACCAGAAAGGCAGAGGGGGCAGGGGGCAGACGTGTTTAAGGGTGAACTCAATGGGACTTCCTGAGGGAGGAGCCAAGAATGAGTTCCGGGTTTCTGGCCTGTATCCCTGGGAACGCTGGGACAGTGCCTTTGAGACACCCAGGAGGATGTCAGGTGGGTAGCTGCAAATAGAGCCTGGTGCTCGGCACAGAGGGGCAGACTGTGACACGTGTTTCTCTGCCTTATGCATCCAAGGAAACACTGGGACCCGAGGGGGCTGCCTGGAAAGAAAGCAAGGAGAAGAGAAGAATGTGAGTGTGAAAGCAAGTGTTGCAAATGAAACATCGGATCCAATCCAGCAGCATGTTAAAAGAAAAATGCACCATGACCGCTGAGCCTTACTCCAGGTGTGTAAGGATGGCTCAGCATCGAGAAAGAGACCCTTGTGATTAATTCCATTGACAAATTAAAATAGAAAACGTGAAATCCTATCATGTGCAAAAGCATTTGAGAAAATGCAGTGGCCATTCCTACTTTAAGTAAAAGAGGAAAAGAATAATTCTTTAATATGATGATGCTACCAAACCTCCCAGCCATTCCCACTGAAATCAGGAATGAGATGAGCCCACTGTCGTCCCCGTTTCCAACATTGTTTGGAAGGCTCTCGTTCATCCTATAAAATAAGAAAACAAAGTGGTACCCAAAGAAAAACAGAAGAGCCAAAATTATTTTTATTTGCAGACAATGTTTGTTTACTTAGAAAAACAAGAGACTCTAAAATCCCTTAGTAAATTTGAGGTTGCTAGATACAAGATAACTGGACAAAAAGAACCAATTTTCTTTCTACTAGTAGTAACCAATTACAAATGGAAATGAGAGATTATGTTCACAATGATGATAAAATTATAAGTAAATTTATAGGATATTTATAGGAACAACTTTATAGAAAAAGTGCAGGACCTCTAGAGTCAAAACTATAAGTTTTTTTTTTATGAACTTAATTCAAGATTGGAATAAACAGAGAGATCTACATGTCCCTGATTGGGAAGACTTCATGTCATGCAAATGCTCATTATTCTGAAATTATCTATACATTTATTACCATTCCTATAAGTATTGCTTTAATTTTTTTTTGCTTTTTTGTTTGATTTTGGTTTGGGAGGTGGTGATGAGAACCAATAGTTTTTGAAGTCCCTGTGGAAGAGCAAATATGTGAGAATTGCTAACACAATTTTGAAAAGGGGAAACTGGTGCGTATGTCCTTTATCTACAGATATGAACCCTGACTATATGCACTGAGATCAACGTAACGTACTGGCAAAGGAAACAGACAAAGAGATTAGCAGAATGGAGGTTAGTGGAATGGATCCAAGAGTCTGTAGGAGCCCAATTCATCACGCGTGTGGCAGGTGAGGGGGAAAGCAGAGGTATGTAATCAATGGAGCATTCATAACAGCTTTCTGGAAACAGAGTTCAGCTCACTGCATTCCACATATCCGAGATCACACTCCAGATGGGGCAGAAGTAAACAAACATGCAACAGGACAGCAGAGAAATGTAAAGATTGTCTTTAAAGACCCGTAAGTGTTAAGGAAAATGTTGCTGACTAAATAAAATACCTGGCAAAAGATAAAAGCATCAAAAAGTATGTTAAAAAAAAAAAAACCAAAAACATTTAAACCAAAGTATCAAGAAAGAAGTGGTAGGGAGGAAATATTAGTGGCAGCCCTTTCTCAGAAGAAAGGTGGATGGCCTAGCCTACTATCCAAAGAGCTCTCACTCTCCCATTCAATAACCCTAAGAGACCTCTCTTACGGAATCCCTCTCCACATGGAATTCCAGCTGCGCGTCCTGGAGACAACAGCCTCTTGTGCCTCTCCAGGAGCAGTGGGCCCCCGGCGCTGGCTGGCCCTCCTTGTCCAGGCTGCCAAGAATTCAGAAGTCTTTCTAGACTCCCTGTCACATGTCAAGTGCTCTCTTCTGTTCCCCAGAGACCTTTTCAAACATCCTTAGAATAGTGGTCATTAAACACCAAGTTATGGTATATTGTGGAGGAATTTTGTGTCTTTAAATTATTGAAAAGCACTGAGGTTCCACAGTCTGCCTGAGTGACAGGTTAGTTTAATAGAGCCCCAAACTCGGGGAACTGGATGGCATCAGCGTTGTATTTTTGTCTCATGGAGTTCTCCTTTCAAATTTCTCCTTTCCCAGCCACTTCTCCTCACTTCCCTGGAGAGAGCGTCCTTCCCGGGAAGCCCAGGGCGGCCCGCTTGTGGTGTTCGCGTCGGTGGACTCAGTGAAATAAGCGGAGTTGTCAGCAGGGTCGACGCAGGCCTCCTGTGTGTCGCTGCAGTGGACAAAGGGGAGCAACGGTCTGCCCCCGAGTTAAACGGGGTGTGTCTGCGGAGCGTCTCAGGAGATTTTCTCTATTTTCGTTTGGAGGCAGACCCAGGACGGGCTGGCGGGCCGGCCTGAAACTCCAGGGCTGGTGGGGCCTGTGTCTTGCTAACAACTGGGGGTTTTCCCAGCCTGCATTCCGGGAGTGAAGTCCCGACTCTGTGAGGTTCGGGCAGGCTCTGAACAAACCCCGAAAGAGCTCTGATCTCTGGTCTTGTGGCAGGGACATGCTTGTTCTTTACACATGCGTCTGTCTTAGTGGGTCTTTGGGACACGTCCCCATGACTTTAGTGCGTGTGACGTGGGGAGAAGGATTTCCATGGCAAATGAGCTCGGAGAAAACTGGGGGAGAAAGCTGTAGGCCCGATTCCTCGCTGCTGTTGCCTCAGGGGCTTCAGTGTGGGTGTGCTGGTGTGTCCCCCAGGGAGGGGACGTCCTCCCTCTGCTCACTGTGCATCTCAGAGTGCGTGTGCCCAGGACATGTGTGGAGAGAGGCTGCTTCCTGTCAGTTATATCATCATTTAATTTACAGGGTGTCCCCAGGTGCAGGTCTTACAGGGCCGGTCTATAGATGTGGAAGTGAAATTCAGAGCACTTAAGTGGCTTGTCCAGGGTCATAAGGGGACCAGTCTAGAGAAGGAAATTCTGACCTTTTTTGTGCATTCGGTCACATGTTTCTGTAGTTTTGAATACAAGCAAGGTTTCCACTGATTAACCCTGGTTTGTCATCGAGCATATTATGGGTATTACTGGATCAAATGTAATAGAAGGTACATGTGATTTCAATTCTTCAGATCTGGTTGTTATAAAACGACACATGATTTCATTTTTATCAACCAGTTAAAGGTCAGCAAGAGACCTAGGGTCAGAGGTCAACAGTCATGTGGCAAGGTCAGCAGGAATCACAGTGACACTGCCTGGGTTTTTGTCCCTACACAGGTGCCACCTGCCCATCCTGTGGGGAGTCACCCGCCCTCCTGACCTGCCCCTGCCCCTCCCAGGGCCTCTGGCCCACAGAGTGCTCACCAGTTGGAAAGAAGGGAGGAAAGCTCCATGTATTCCATTTACACAGCTGTCCTTCCTTTCACCCACTGGTGGTGAGGAGTTGTACCGTGCACATGAACGTTTCACAGCCCCCGAGATCCAGTGAGGTCAGAAAGTCTCTGTCCTACACCGTGTGCTGGCCGCGCCGGGCTGACACAGGAGCCTGGGGGGTGAGGAGGCCCACCGCATGGGTTCGCCTGGCGCTCCGAATGGGGCTGTATGACCCCAGGTAACTGACCCAGTGACTAGCGCAGAAGCCATTGATCGGTTAGTATCTGTGGGAGATGTATATATGTCTATATCGACAGACAGACAGACAGAGACAGAGACAGAGAGAAAGAAAAGGAATCTCTTCAGTCACAGGGGTGCTTTTACGGACAGAGCCTTTGACTCACCCTCTCTTACCTTCCCACCTCTCTCTCTCTGTCTCTCTTTGTCTCTGTCACTCTCTCTGTCTCTGTCTCCCTCCCTCTCTTTCTGTCTCCCTCTGTCTTTCCCTGTTCTCTCTCTCTGTCTCTCTCTGTCTCTCTTTGTCTCTGTCTCTCTCTGTCTCTCCCTCCCCCTCCCGCCCTCCCCCACAACAAGCCCTAAACCCAGGGTCCCTGCTCGTCACAAGCACCTTCTGTGTCAGACCAGCTGCTGCCCAGACCTCAGAGCTGGGGCTTCCCCCGGGGGAACTCGGAAATCACAGTCATAACACCGTCGTTCTGAAATGAGGACAAATGTGCATTTTAGGAGCCTATGAAAGGGGTCCTCCTGACCCAGGGAGAGCTACCCATGAGGGACCACGATGCCAGGGGTCTCCATCCAAGGGCATAAAGCGGGCACGGGACGCCCTCGGAGCTCTCTCCCAGCAGGTCCTGTGCGCTGTAGGGAGGGGCTGGCAGGCAGGGTGTGCTAAAAAAGAATAATGGCACTTAGGAGCCATCCTGCCTGGAGCAGCGCTTCACCTTAACTGCAGTTTGGGAGGGCAGACTGAGTGACCCTGGGCCTTGAGGACATGGACCAGCTGTGGGCACGCAGGCGCAGCCGAGGGGCGCGAGCTCCCCTCCCCGGGGCGACGCTTCTCCTCTGTCTTCTCATTAGCTGTTTCCTTGAAGGACTGACTTCCCTCCGCAGGGAAATTCCTGAAACCCAACAGTTGACAAACCCACACACCCTCGGGAGGGCTGGGCACCAGATAAAAGCCCTCTGCGGTAGCCGACTCCTCCTGGGGACAGCCATTGCCGAGCTTGGGGACCGCCGCTGCCGCCGGGTGCCCAGCAGAGCACGGGGACCTGCGCCCAGAGCCTCGGGGCACACACCCTCGGGGATCTGCTCCTCGGCAGCTGGTGGCCGGCCTCGCGGTCCTAAAAGGCAGGCAGTGCCGGAGTCTACCCCGAGGAAAACAGGTTCTCTGAGTTTTTCTGGTTTGCTCTCAGCTCTCCACTGGACGATCTATTTCTGTCTTTCCTTCGGGAAAAATGCGCTTTGACAATGACTAATCGCAGCCGTGCGGAGATTTTATCAGCTGTCACCTGCACAGCAGGACCCAAGCCCGTGCGGAAATGAGCAGATAGCCAGGCAGCCGCAGCCCCGACCTGCCAGCACACCTGCCTCCCCTGGCAGAGCCGCTAGAAGCTTTCCTGCTGTGGGCCGTGGGCATGTGGCCATCACAGTGACCGCCCTGGGGCCCCGAGGCAGACCCAGGTGTCTGAGGAGCAGCTGCCTCCCCGTGGGCCGAGTGTGGAGCCCCTGGATGGAGCTTGGGACCCCAGCCCCTCATGTCTGTCCTGCTGACGCTGTGTGTCGCACTCCTGCCCCTGGCGACCCCAGGCCGAGGTGCCCAGCAATGGGAGCCCTGCACAGGTAATGGGGTGACACGGGGACAGGGGCGGGGCACCGTGCCAGGAGCCGGGAGGGTGTCGTGCGCGTTGAATGCTGCTTTCTATTGCCGATTCAAGGCCACTGGGGGTCCAGTTGCTTTAGGAGCGCCAGCAGGTAGCACCCTGGGGAGAAGGGCAGAGGTGGGCCCGTGGCGGCAGAGATTAGAGGGAACAGCTTGGCGGTCACAATAGAAACGCGGTTCCTTAAAATGCTAAGAGGGCGGGGAGAGTTTCAAAGAGTTAACCAGCTGCCGCCTGAAGCCCTTCACACGCGTTTACCTGCTTTGCCTCTGGGAAGGAAGGAAGGCGCAGAGGCAGGTCCCCCATTCCCTCTCTGGACAGAGAACCCCAGGTCTGCACTCAGCAAAGCACAGGGCCCCCCAGGCCTGATAGTTCTGTCCCAGAGAAGCAAGAAAGGTGGGAACAGCCTCAAACACACCGACAGTGGAGCCAAGAGCAGGGCCCTTCGGGGTCAGCCCCCACCCGAGGGGAGAGTGCCACTGGGGACAGAAGGGAAGCCGAGGGGAGATGCTGCCCCCCTCCTTTTTAGAAAGGCCATGTGGATTTGCTAATGACCATGACATTATCATACCTTTCTGGAGTTCCCACCTAGAGATTTTATTTATCGAACCTCACCTTAAAAAGCATACTGACGGGAAGGAGACCTGGCCGATAGAAGCCGGTTTCAGGACGTGAGCGAGCGGTGCAGCACACATGGCCTCGGCAAGAGGTCGGGCGGTGTGGGTGTCGGAGGTGCTGGGGTGGTTTGCTCTGTGGATCTGGTTTTATTTGTGAGTTACTCATCCTGGGTCCCTGGAATCCTCTGAAGTCCCCTCCATGTATGGTTCTTGGCTCTGGTGGCACTTGGTTCCCAGTGACGTGACCAGGAGATGACCAATGATGACCCAAGTTTGGAACACTGACCTGGGAGGGGTTCTGTAAAGGTCCCCAGCCCCCGGGGAACAGCCAGGGCAGAATGGGGGGAGGTGAGCAGGCCCTGGGGGGCTGGAGCAGCCACCATGTGGGAATGTCGGGGGAGCGCCTGCTCCTTGTCTCCGGGGGCTGCTGCACCTGCCTGTGGGGACTGCCTGGGGACGAATGATTTTACAAACAGTACAAGAGCCAAGTCCATCTGCGGCCAAGCAAAATCCCCTGGATTGCCGTGCTTCCTTCCCTGACAAAGGCCAACACTTGGAGTCCGGGGTGCACGGCAGGAGGACCCCATGCGGCACCGGAGCCCACCGTAATCCTGAGCGCACGGCAGTCTCCGTGGTGGGAGATGAGTCACTGACATGTATCTTCATGTTCCCCTTAGCACTGGGAACAGAATCAATCTGCATAAAATAATAATAAAGGTGATTTATAAAGCCCGCCCCCTCTCCCCTGAAGGCGTGTTGCAAATAGTTAAAAGATGACCCAGTTATAAATACCGAGAACTGGGGGGGAAAGATAAAAGTCAAGTCAATAATATTGCACTGAATTTGGACCGCTCCCAAGACACTTGCATAAAGCCGACTCAGGGTGTCAAACAGTTAACAAGGTCACTTTGATTCCATCCAGTTCTGAAAAGCACACGAATTTCCAGTGTGGGGCTGTGTGTGTGGGGAGGTTGGCTCCACTTTCCTTTAGGCCTTGTTTGTGGGTCTGCGCTGCTGTGTATGTGAAGTGCCAGGGGCCCAGGCTTTGAAGTCCTGGCCCCCGAGCCTGTGACTGCTGACAACATCACCCTGGAGCAGTGATTGGTGGCGAGCAGGCTGTTTGCAACGCAGCTGTTGAGGTGCCCCTTGGCGCCACCCCCCTTTCTCATGAGGGCATCGTGCTTGGGAGAGGGGGCCCCTTTGATTGGCAGCAGCATCCCATCTCTCTCTGTCCTGTGTACAGACTCGCTCCGTGCTATTAGGTTGCAAATAACTCACTGTAGGGCTGAGGGAACCTTACAGTCGGCTGGGATTTTTGGGAGTCCCGGACCGGGCAGGGCAGTAGAGGGAAGAAAATCTGTCTCTTTATAGCTGCACCTTAGAAGGAGTTAACTCATGGGCAATGGCGGGGCGGCCAGAGTGGTCCAGGAGCTAGAGAACAGAAGGGATGATGGCTCAAGGGGACTGCATGTCTGTAGGGCTGGTAGGGCTTCAAGTTCAGCGTCCAGGAGGCCTGGGGAGGGACAGTCCTGGAGGCCTGGGGGTTGGAGGGAGGGCCTTGTCTGGATATGTTGCGGCCACTTCTGCCCGGCTTTCTTAAGAGCGGGACAGCAGCTGTGTCCTGGCCAGCTGAAGTGGGCGGGGGAGCTGGCAGTGCTCGTGGGAAGCTGTAATAGTCAGGATCACGCAGGTGGCAGGTTGCAGACGGAAGAGCGGCTCACCAGGTGACTAGCATGTGGGTGAGCAGCAGCTGACCAGTGCCCTTCTCTAAGAGGTGTCTGCGGACACCTCCTCCAGGTAGGGGGTGTGGCCAGTTGTGCTGATGGGAAAATAGGGGTTAAATGTCTGCCCAGTGTCTGGCATGGACCCTCCAATGAGGGATGGGCCAGGGGGTGGTGCTGGCCCTTCTGCGCAGGTGCGTCTGAGGATGGGTCAGGTCTGAGAGAGCCTCAGCCGAGCCAGAGAGATGAGCCCTACAGGCGGTCAGTATGAACCATGCTGCCGGGGCTTGGAGCAGCCTCGGCAGGAGGGTGGCAGGGGCTTTGCAGCAGAGTGGCTGGGGGCTGAGGGTGTGAGTGGGGTGTGTGGGGTGGGCTCCTGCTGGGTGAGTGTGGCAGGCAGGATTTTAAGGCGAGATGCCTCTTTATGAGCTGTTGGCTTCCCTGACCCCAGGTGCCAGGCTTCTGTTCCTTGGGCCTCTCAGCCACTCCACCGAGCTGGGCCCAGCCACCTCAGGACAAAGAGGTTGAAATATGACTGCTAAGATCTCCCAGCTCCTGCGAGAATCCTGTGACTCTGGGTTGCATGGTGTGTGGTGCCAGGGGAGTGGCTGGGGGTGTCCTGCGGGGAGACACCTGGGTGGGCTGTGTTCTAGATGTGGGCTCTCAATCAGGGAGTGAGCAGCAGCTGTGGTTGGGGGCGGGGGAGGTGCTGGGGCAAAATCCCTGTGGGCCGTCCCCAACTCAGCTTGTCCTGACCCAGCCTCGTCTTTACATGGACGGGGGCCAGGGCAGAGGGATTCTGTGGGAACCAGAATGGAGACAGCTGGACCCCAATGGGACGGGGTCACCGGTAGGCTCCAGAGGGGCTGGGCAGAGAGAAGAGGTGGGGTGAGGCCTGGGAGGCACAACTGTCACCTGCTGCTGGGCGTCAGGATAACAGCCTTCGGATGTATCTCCGGATTGTGCCCGAGAGTGTCGACCGCTAACTCTGGGGAGGGTCAGACGTGGGCTCCACACCCAGGGCTTAGGGCCTTGGTGAGGCGTCAGGACTAACCCACATGGCACCCCTCCATTTCCCACTCCTCCCTCCTTCATTCGCTCAATACCCCTGCAAGGAAGGCACCGCGCCCACCGCTGGGGACGCAGCACAGGCAGTGTGGTCCCTGCCTGCTTGGAGCTCGCACTGCAGTCAAATCACAGCTGTGTGGTGGGCAGTGAGGGCCCCGGCAGGCTGTGACCTCCCCTAGGCGGGAGGGATCCAGGAGGGCCATTGAGGTGGAAAGTTCAGGGAGCCAGAGCCTCCAGGGCAAAGACATGGGCAGCGCGGGGGCCGTGTGCAGGAGTTGGTGGGTGGTCAGACCTCGGGGGCTGGGGGCAGGAGGGCTGTGTGCATCCCCGGAGCTAGAGAAAGTACTCAGGAAACGATGAGAACAGATTTCCATGTTCAAAGCTGGCCGGGGTGTGAAGGCCACCGGGAGGCCGCCCAGCAGAGGCAGCTGGCCTCCTTTGCAACTGCGGGGCCAGGAAGCTCCTCAGGCCAGGCTTCCACAGCGGTTCCTTCCTGGTGGTTCAAATGGACGGACCGCCCGTAAAGCCTGTGAGGCGGCTGAGAAGCCTGTTTGAGTGTGTCCCTGTCAGCCGTCCTTTGTCCACGTGGGCACGGCTTCCCACTCCATCCTTGGGTGCTGGGGGCACAAGGCTGAATCTGAGGCTGAGCCTCATGAGACCAGCCTCCTCTGAGCTCCACACCCCTAGGTGACCCCTCACACCGCACTGGGACGTCGGGGATGTCGTGGGGGGACAGAGGCAGAAAGGCCCGCCTCACTGGCTTGAGTGATTTTGCAGGGCTGGGCTGTTGGCAACTGGGATGCCAACCACAGCACAGCCTGCCAAGCGGTGCCATGTCCACACCCGGGATTCAAACCGGTGAACCCTGGCAGCGGAAGCAGAACGTGGGAACTTAACCGTGCCACCAGGCCGGCCCCGGAATATTCCTTTTTATAATGTAACCATACACTATATGCTGCTTCTATGGTTTTAATCTTTAAGAGTTAATCATGGATTTCCTGGCAGCCGTTTTCCAGGATAAAATCTAGGAAGCCACCAACGCAGGCTTCTGGGTCTGGGCTGGGTTTCCAGCTGGACCCCCACCGGCCCCTGCAGCGCGGAAGACCCTCCCTCAGCCTGGACCTCGCAGCATTCCGTTCCTGGTCCCCCCTGCCTCCCCCTGTCCTCTGCTCCCCTACCCCATCCTCCCGGATGGATCCTGAATTCCCTGCTTGGAGGAGACCTCCCCCTTCTCTCCGAATCCTGAGAGTCTGGGGGAGCGTCGGGGGTCGTGGTCCTCAGCTGTTACCCTCCCCCTCCTAATCTTGCATCTGCGCCTGAAGGAGCACCCTGGGCCCGGGCGGGGGGCTCACAACCCCTCCTCACCCCGCACCCGACGTGAAAGCCCGGTGTCTGTGTCCTCGGAGGGGCTCGGGGCTCCAAGGTGGGACTCCATCTGTTAACGGCTCACTCTTCATCCCACCCCCAGTCCGGGGGCCGCGCCGCCGCCGAAGCCCAGAGAGCTTTGCCCTGGGGTGGGGACTTTGTGGGGGTCTCAGGCGAATCCAGTCTACCCAGCATCTCTGGCCACTTCAGTGGAACTTGGCCCGCCGCTGGGAGGTGGAAAAGGAGAGGAAACGCCGACCTTGCTTCCAAGGTGACCCCAGGGTCGGTTTGCAGCCGGGCGAGCCCCCACCGCCCCCGCTCCGGCCGCGGGCGATGGAAGGGGAAGGGCGGGGCGACCCCGAGGGCTGGAGCTGCCCGCTTCTGGGAGGGCGAGAAACAACGGACCGCCGGCTCTTCCCGGGCCCTCACCCTGGGCCTCGCCGCGCACCTGCAGGACGGGACCGTGTGCGGCCTGGGGGGACCACCGCCGGGGAGCGCGCAGGACGTGCGGGCGCGGGCCGAGCGCGGGGTGGCCGAGGGGAAGGCAGTGAGTGTGCGCGCGCGTGTGCGTGTGCCAATACGCGTGAGTGTGTGTGCACGCACGCGCCGCTGAGGAGAGACCGGTGCGTACCCACCCACCCAGGTAGGAAACCGTTTCGTCTCCTCGTCTTTGCGGCCGCGTGCGTCCCCGCGGTCTGCACGGGGCCCGCTGCGCCGCTGGCACAGCGAGGTCGCCGTCGTCCGCCACGGGCGGCTCAGGTCCGGGTGCGCGAGGAGCGCGCGCCGGGCTCTCGGGTCCGCGGGCGCCGGGCTCGGGTGCAGCCAGTGGGGACGGGGCTCGGGGACACCCTGCGCTCGGGACCGCGACCCTGCCCGGACGCCTCGCCCCGTGTGTGACACGTCTGGGGGTCGGGGGCGGAGCTTGGGGCGCACCGCGGAGGGGTCACCAGTGTTGGACGACCCCGCGGGACGGAATGCAACAGCGTTCAGGGGCGTCCGCAATTCGGGTCTTTTCTGGTTAACCCGGGCATTCTTCGCCGCGCGCGCGCTTTCCGACGCAGCGGGCCCCGTCCGGTAGGGGTGGAAGTCAGGGGCCGGGAACTGGGGCGGGCCCCGCCGACCCGGCCGCAGCAGCTCCGCAGGCAGGGATGGGCTCCGCGGCGTCCGCAGCGCCGGGCCTGAGCCCCGTGGAGCCGCCGGCAGCCTCGCGCCCCATCGCGGCTGCGCGGGGACGTCCTGCCCCATACGCGGGGGGCTCCTCAATCAGTGCCGTGACGAAAAAGTGCGCATCTCACCACATCGTTTGTTTTAAAAACATTTTGGTGACTGTAGTTTCCCACAACGGTCTCCAACTCTGGAGTATTGTATTTTATGCATTTCAATACGTGTTTCTGAGCAAGGGCCTATGGGTTTTCACACAGGACGTTGGGGCTACCCCGTCCGCTAGTCTCTGGGTGGCCGTGAAGTTGGTCAGGAGGAGAGTACTAAAGGCACAGAGGGGGCCTGCGGTGGCCAGAGACCCAGGGAATTCCCTGGCGGCCTATGACACCTGGGGAATTGACTTCACACACCCTCTCTTCCATAGTTGGGACCCAGGAGGGAGGGGCGGGTCCCTCAGGAGAGGGGGAGGGCGGGGACCTCAGGGGAAGCAGGGGTCAGGACTCCCACCTGCCTCCACAGCCCCAGAATGTAGCAGGAAGGACTGGGGGGGGGGGGCGGTTAGTCTGTCTGCACCCGTATACGCCACCCAGTTCTTTTTTTTTGAAGATTGGCCCTGAGCTAACATCTGTTGCCAATCTTCCTTTTTTTTTTTTTTTTTTCCCCTCTCCAAAGCCGCAGTTGTATATCCTACTCGTGGGTCTTTCTAGTTCTTCTATGTGGGATGCTGCCACAGCATGGCTGGATGACCAGTGCTAGGTCTGCGCCCAGGATCTGAACTAGCAAGACCCTGGGCCATGGAAGCGGGAGCGGGTGAACTTAACCACTCGGCAGGGGGGCAGTCCTGACACCACCAAATTCTAATTGCAGGAGGGTAGTCCTACTTTCCACTGACAGGTTCCCTGAAGACCCTCCCCCCACTTTTAGGGGGGTGGCACTGGAAAAGCTGACCCAGCTTGGGGAGTGTGGCCCAGGTTCTGCAGGGGAGCGGCTGAGGGGCAGGTGATCTCTTAGACCTGCTCTAAGGGGGGTGTTGACTGTTGACCTGCCTCCCTCAGGGGGTCGCCTTGCTGGATTTCATGGCCTCCTGGGAGGCATCAACAGCAGGGCAGGATCAAGAGCTAGGAGGTGGCACTGGTGGGGGTATGGAGGCAGGGGGCCCACAGGTTAGGAAGCAGCGCTGTCTGAGAGTGAAACCTGGGCGTGGGAAGCTCAGGGAAATTGGGGACCTGTCCAGACTGGCCCCAAGGGAAAATCCCCCAAGGGCAACAAGCCTGGGCCTCAGACCCCAGAGTGGGCCCTTGAAATCACCTACCCCCTGTCTTCTTCCCCTGACCTCTCCCACATCCAGGCTGGACCTGGGGCCGGGGAAGGGGTATTGTCATCGGCCTGCACGGGCACAGACAGACAGGGTTGGGACGTTTGAATAAAGGGCTAAGATTCAAGGGGAGATGGAGGGAAAGGCTCAGGAAGCTGGTGGTTGGCAGAAATGCTCCTCGTCAGCTGTGCCCCAGGGAGGCCCTAGACCAGCTGGTCTCCTGGCAACTAGGGCCGTGCCCTCTGGGTGTCGGCAGACTGATGGGGAAAGCCAGTTCTGGGGCGACAGGGCCCTCTTGCCACCAGACCTACTGGCCAAGTGCCTATTGGCTGCCTGAATCCTGGACAGGCAGCACAGCCACCCCAGAGCTGCCCGGAGATACAGATGCAGGAGCCAGGGGCCGCAGGACAACTGGGGTGGGCCTCAGATCTCAACGCCATTGGAAATGCTCCCAAGACATGGCTTATCTCCAAGGTTGCTGAGGCCAGGGGTACGTGGAGGGCTGGAAAAACGAAATGTAAAACTGGGCCGGGAGAGAGGACCAGCAGAGGCAAGGACGGCGAGTTTATTCATTCTGTTCAAGACACGTCCAAGGTGGGGAGGGCAAATGGCTTCCGGGTAGAGGGTAGAGGCCCCAGTAAGGCTATGGGGAAGGGCTGGGGCCCTGGCCATCAGAAACAACCAGGGAGCCACCAGTAATAGGGGAGGGCCGTCTCAGGTTCACCCGGGCCTGATGTGGAGGCTGCAGGCTGAACCCTGGTTGTTGGGGTCTGAGGTCAGCGAGCATTCACGCTTCGATGAGTGCTGAAGCTTGTGCTGGGGTTACATCCTGACAGAGGCAGTGGGAGAGGTGCGGTGTCCCATAGTGCCCGGCTGGCCCTGGAGGACGTGCCCAGTCAGTAGCAGGACTTCTGGGCCGAGGCGGGGCTGCAGCGGGCCACGCGGGAGCACGTGGGGCGGCAGAGCAGGGACACGCAGGAGGAGGGTTTGCACACAGGCCGGCAGAGCAGGGACACGCTGGAGGCCGGGCGGCAGCAGCTGGGCTGGCAGGAGGCAGGGCCGCAGCAGGAGGGCACGGGCACGCAGCAGGCGGGCCTGCACACGGGGCGGCAGATGAGGGACACGCAGGAGGAGGGTTTGCAGCAGGACGGGGGGCAGGGGCTGGGCTGGCAGCACGAGGGGGCTGGGCAGGGGGAGGCCTTGGAGCAGGCGGGTGTGCAGGAGACGGGCACGCAGCAGGCCTGCTGGCAGGGGGAGGAGGTGCAGCAGGACGGCTGGCAGCTAGACTGCTGGCAGCATGAGGAGTCTGAGCAGGGGGAGGCCCCAGAGCAAACGGGCACACAGCACACGGGCTTGCAGCAGACGGGGGTGCAGCAGACGGGCACGCAGCAGGCCTGCTGGCAGGGGGAGGAGGCGGAGCAGGAGGGCTGGCAGCTAGACTGCTGGCAGCACGAGGTGTCTGAGCAGGGGGAGGGCCCAGGGCAGACGGGCACACAGCACACAGGCTTGCAGCAGACGGGGGTGCAGGAGACGGGCACACAGCAGTCCTGCTGGCAGGGGGAGGAGGTGCAGCAGGAGGGCTGGCAGCTAGACTGCTGGCAGCATGAGGGGTCTGAGCAGGGGGAGGGCCCACAGCAGACGGGCACACAGCACACGGGCTTGCAGCAGACGGGGGTGCAGCAGACTGGCACGCAGCAGGCCTGCTGGCAGGGGGAGGAGGCACAGCAGGAGGGCTGGCAGCTAGACTGCTGGCAGCACGAGGGCGTGCAGGAGCTGGTGCAGGCTGCCTGGCAGGGGCTGTACACACAGCTGGCGGGGGTGCAGATGAGGCTCAAGCAGGGGGCCGGGACGCAGCAGCTGGGGGCGCAGCAGGGGGGCTCGCAGCAGCTCTCTGGGCCGTCGTCCACCTGCCAGGAGGAGTCGGGGCAGGAGTCCCAGGAACCGGGCTGGCAGACCCGGCTGCCATAGCTGAGGTCGCTGGAGCAGACGGACAGGGTGGAGGCGGCCATGGTGGGGCGGTGGGGCTGGAGGCGGGTGTGTGTGAGTGTATGTGTGTGTGTGCCGGAGAGGGTGGTTGAGGGTGTGTGAGCTGCCTGGGGTGCTTGGGGCTTATATACCCCTCAGGGGTGCATGTTGTCCATCGTGTGTTTCTAGAAGAGTCTATTTCCTTATTGTTGTTGGAGCAGGTCCCTGAGGACGCGCGTCCTGGATCCACAATGGGTAGGTAGCTCAGCTCATTAAACTCCCGAGAGGCTGAAGCCCAGGGGATGCAGGGAGCTGGGGGTGCCAGCACAGGGGGAGCATCGACCTGAGGGTGGACCCAAGGGGGCCAGTCGCTCCTGACGGCCCCTGTCTGAGCATCTTTCTGGGGCTTCTTCCTATCATTCCCCGTAGTTCTCAGCACTCAGTTGAATCATAGCGTATTTTGTTTTTCTTTTGTTATATCCTCTTTATTCTGGAGTGTAATCCTCTCCCGAATCCAGAGGCTAATGAATGGCTCGGGAGCTTTATTTATTTTTACGGTATTCCCCAACGCTTATATAATAGGTCTTGCTATGCCAGGAACTATTCCGAGCAGCTCTATGACGATTAACTCACTAACCCTCACAAGAACCTTGTGAGGTGGGTGCTGCTGTTATGCCCACTTTACAGATGGGGAAACTGAGGCACAACTGAGAACTCACCCCAGAGCCCTCGTGAGCAATCAGAAGACCCTGTATGGGAACCCCGATGGGCCTGTGTTCTTAACCATAAATTCTGCTGCCCCAGACAGCAGAGAGACACTAAAGTCAGTGAGAAATCTGGATTCTGTCCCGGGGCGGAGGGGGGAGGGCGGGCAGGATGAAGTTTGATCTAGAAACGGTGGCGTGAGATTTATGTGAAAATATAGGGTGGGTGCTCAAGCTAGGACTAGCTCTGAACAAGGCTCTGCGTCCCTCGAGGGAGAGGATTTGCATTTATTTACATGCAGGAATGCGGACACACGAGACTGAAGGGAAGCCACCCTTCGGAGGGGTCACTGGAGCGGCTGGAAGGTTTCCTTTTGGGAACTGGGTTGTTTTTAAGTTAAGAGCAAAGACATTCTACAGCCTTCTTTCTTGAGAACTCTGCGGCCCTGGGCTGGGGCTGGCCAGGAGGGGACTGAGAGTAAGGCAGGGCAGCTTGGCTGGACCCAAAGGGCCGGGGGAGCCTGACTCCCCCAGGCGGGGCGCGGGGAGACTCTGCGGTGAACAGCCCGATGGGCCGCGTTTGCCAGCGCCCGCGGTGTAAACGTTGTCCCCAGGGCCGGTTTCAAGCTCTCGGCGGTGGGACAAGCGGCTTGTGGAAGTCCCGAGTGTTGAGCACTTGGCTCTCATAAGCCGCGTAGCGGGCACACCACGGGGGCGCGGACTGGAGGAGAAAGGGACCCAGGAAAGGGGTCTCCGGTGGTGGGGGTCCTGGCTACCCCGAGGGAGTCTGAGCCAAGCTGGGGCATGGCCAACCGGGGTGTGACCTAGCCAGCACTGCCTGCTTTGTGCCAGAATCGCCCCGACCCGCACCCTGCAGCGGGCAGCGTGAGAAGAGGGGCCGGGCGGACGAGGCCCGGGGCCGGGCTCCGTGCTGGGAGGCGGCTCCGCGGCGGCGCTTCCAGCCCAGAGGCGAGCGTTGGGTCAGTCGGGGCGCAGGGGTCGAGGGAGGGACCCGAGGGTGCGAGCACCCAGCGGCTGCAGGAATGGGGGAGGGCCCCACTTGGATGGCGTCTCCGGGAACCAGGGAGGCTCCCAGGTCGCCAGCGGGCCCCATGGACGGGCGTGGGAGGGGGACGTCGAGGTGCCCCTCTTGGCCGACACAGGCACTGAGGACACGGAGGTGCTGGCCCCCGCGGGCCCACCTTTCCCACGCTGCTGCAGGACAGGCGCGCCCGGGGCTTGTCTGAAGGAACCGGCCCTCCCCGAGCCTGGAGGGTCCGCGCCCCCTCTTCCCAAAGGCGAGGACTCCGAAGGCCGAGTGTCCTCCCCAGGGCGGGCCCCCTGCCTGCCGCACCTCCCCAGGCCCGGCCAAGGCCAGGAGCCTTGTGCCCTCGCGGTGTGAGCAGATGCCACGATGAGCAGGGAAGCGTGGCATCTACCTGGCGCGGTCCTGCGCGCGGTGCCGGACAATTCACTCCGCGCCGCTGCGGCCGCTCTGCAGGCGCAGTGTCCTTCCTCGCTCCCTTCCCTCACCGCTTTCCTGTTCCACCTGCAGCCTCGAGTGTATATTTTTTTATTATAAGCACTCAACAGTTATGTGTTATTGTATTTATCATTATGTGTGTGTCAGAACAATATATTCTTCCATTGGATTTTCTTTAAACGTTTTTTTATTGCGGTAAAATATATGTAACATAAAATTTGCCGTTTCATCCATTTTTTAAATGTGCAGTTCAGTAGCGTTAATTCCGTTCACATTGTTGTGCAACCATCACCATCCTCCATCTCCAGAGCTTTCCATCTCCCCCAAAATGAAACTCAGTCCCCCTTATACACCAACTCCATCCCCTCTCCCCAGCCCCCGGACGCACCATTCTACTTCCTGTCTCTATGAATCTGACTGCTCTGGGGGCCTCGTGTAAGTGGAACCACACAGTGTTTGTCCTTTTGTGACTGGCTTATTTCACTCAGCATAATGTCGTCAAGGTCCATCCGTGTTGTAGCAGGGGTCAGAACTTCTTTCATTTTCATGGCAGAATAATATTCCATCGTGTAGATAAACCACATATTGTTTATCCATTCATCTGTTGATAGACACTTGGGTTGTTTCCACCTTTTGGCTCTTGTGAATAATGCTGCAAAGAACATTGGAGTCCCTTTTTTTTAGTTCTTTTGGGTCTACTTTTAGGCGTGCAATTGCTGGGTCATGTGGTAATTCTATGTTTAACTTTTTGTGGAACTACCAAAATATTTCCACAGTGGCTGCACTATTTTATATCCCTACTGGTAATGTTTCAGAGTTCTGATTTATCCACATCCTTGCCAATACTTATTTTCCTTTTTTTTTTTTAATTACAGCCATCCTAATAGGAGTGAAGTGGTATCTCATGGTGGTTTTGATTTGCATTTCCCTAGTGACTAATAATGTCGAGCACCTTTTCGTGTGCTTGTCGGCCATTTGGATATCTTCATTGGAGAAATATCCGTTCACGTCCGTTGCCCATGTTTCAGTTGGGTTGTTCATCTTTTTCTTGTTGAGTTGTGGGAGTTCTTTATATATTCTGGATATTAAACTCTCATCAGATATATGATTTGCAAATGTTTTCTCCCATTCTGTAAATTGTCTTTTCACTTTCTGGATAGCGTCCTTTGATTCACAGAAGTTTTTAATTTTGATGAAGTCCAATTTACTTTTTTCTTTTGTTGCTTGTGCTTTTGGTGTCATATCTAAGAAACACTTGTCAAATCCGAGGTCATGAACATGAAACATTCCCTGTATGTTTTCTTCTAAGACATTTTTGGTTTTGCTCTTACATTTAGGAGTTAATTTTTGTATATGGGGTGAGGTGGGAGTCCAAGTTCATTCTTTTGCATGAAGCACTTTGTGGAAAAGATGATTTTTTTCCCCTGTTGAATGGTCTTGGCACCCTCATCAAAAATCAATTGGCTATAAATGTATGGGTTTACTTCTGGACTCTCTTTTCTATTCCGTTAGTCTGCGTGTCTGTCCTTATGCCAGAACCACGCTGTTTCAATTACCGTAGGTTTGCAGTAAACTTTGAAATCAGGATGTGTGAACCCTCCAACTTTGTTGTCCTTTTCCAAGATTATTTTGCTACTCTAGGTCCCCGTCAATTCCATATGAATTAGAGGATCAGCTTTTTCATTGTTGGAGAAATGGCTGTTGGCGTTTTGATAAGGAGTGCATTGACTGTAGATCGCTTTGAGTAGCGTTGTCATCTTAACGATGCTGAGTCTTCCTGTTCGTGAACATGGAATGTCGTCCCATTCATTTTGGTCTTTAATTCCTTCAGCATGTTTCGCAGTTCTCAGCGCACAGTGTCTCGCCCCCTTGGTTGAATTCCTTCTTAGGTATTTTATTCTTTTGGATGTGATTGTGATCCTTGTTATTTCTGTAAGGTCCGTGGTAATATCTCTACTTCCATTTCTGAATTTAGTTATTTGCACCTTCTCTCTTTTTTCCTTGTTAGTAAATTTTATTGATTTTTTTCAAAGAATCAACCTTTGGTTTTGCTAATTCTCTCTGCTGTTTTTCTGTGTTCTATGTCATTTATTTCCACTCTTATCTTTATTATTTGGTTGGTTCCCCTGGTGGCCAGCTGCCATCCTTAGATGGAAGTCCAAAGTCACCTCATTAATACAATGAAAGACACCTTTATTGCTCTTGTCACTTAGGAAATTCCAAAGGTTTCAGGAACTCTGTGCCAGAAATGATGAAGACTAAACATATGCTTCTTGTTATAAATCACAGTATCACAATTTCCTTCCTTCTTGTAGCTTTGGGTTTAGTTTGCTCTTCTTTTCCTAGTTCCTCAAGGCATAAAGTTTGTTGATTCAAAATCTTTCCTCTCTTTCAACGTAGGCATTTACAGCCTTAAATTCTCCTCCAAGCTCTGCCTTGACTGCATCTTACAGGTTTTGATATGTTGTGTTTCAATTTTGATTCACCTCTAAGAATTTTCTAATTTCCCTGTGACTTCCTCTTTGACCCACACTTTTTTTTTTTCAAAGAGTATGTGGTTTAATTTCCACATATTTATGAATTTTCTAGTTTCTTTCTGTTACTGATGTCTAGTTTCATTCCATTGTGGTTGGGAAAGACCCTTTGTATGATTTCAATCTTATTAAATTCATCGTGGCTTGTTTTGTGGCCTAATGTGTGGTCTCTCCTGGAGAATGTCTCACGTGCCCTTGGGAAGAATGTTGTCCTGTGTGTGGCTGTGACTAGTTGCTCTGTAGGGTTGTTCAAGTTCTCTTCTTCCTATTGATCTTCTGTCTACATGTTCTATCCATTGTTGAAAATGGGGTACTAAAGTCTTCAACTGCTGTTGTAGAACTCCCTGCTTCTCCCTTCAATTCTGTCAGTGTTTGCTTCATGTATTTTGGGCCTCTGTTGTGCGGTGCATGTATGTTTATAATCGTGAGATCTTCTTGATGAATTGAATCTTTCCTCAATATATAATGTCCTTTCCTTGTGCGTTTTTGCAGTTGGTACCATACGGATGAAGAGGTCCTTGGTAAATATTACGTCTGTCAGTTTTTAGGGTCTTAGTGTATTGATGGGACCTTAAGCATTCTTGAAAAATAGGTTTATTATAGAGAAAGTCAGCTGTAAGTAATGGCTGGTTCATCATACTGTGTTAACAATTTTAAAACGTTAGAGACATAAGGTGAATGCCGTTCTTTCCTGTCACCTCTGCTCTCTGGTACCCAGTGATGTGCGTGCCAATTCCGTGATCTCTTGAAGCTTGGAGAAAGAGAGGGACTCAAAGAGACAAGGTTTTAAAACCACGTTCCGAGGAGACATATCAGAGGCCACCTAGGTAAGGATGTGTGTCAGTGAGAAAGGGAGAGAGGGGTGTGAGGGGGAGAGGTTTAATTTTCCATCCAAAGCAGGAATCCCATTTGTGGTTTCTATTTTTTTTATGAACGTTTTTATTATTTTTAACTACTTAGCTCCTAACCATTAATTTCAACTATCTTTTTGTTCATATTGTTGTGA